TGGGAAAGGAACAGAAATCCTTTAATGATGTATATGAGAAGTGGGCTCGTAAATAATAGTAACTTATCTGCAGATGGTCTGGTGATTCCACATCAGGAAAGTATTACTCTAAACCTGGCAGATTTTATTAGAAGCTGTGTCCATTTTTCTCCCCAGATTGCTTCTTGTTACGGACTGCAGATCCTGCTCTGAGACTTGCAAGCACATACAATTATGCAAGGCAATGAAATAAGACATGCAGGTAGTAGTAGTAACTTTTATTTGCAAACTGTACTTGCAATTACAATATTGCCTTTTGGGAACAATCACAAAGAACAAGAAATCCAACAGAATTTTACAGACCTGTTCTAGCAAAATTCAACCCCTCTTTCAGCTTCTAGCATTGGATAAACCAGAGATGACCATGTCTTTCAACTGATCTCCTGGGAGGCTCCAGTTTGGGTTCGGGTTTTTGTTGTCCTGTGGTTTAGGGCATTTCCCCCCCCCCCCTTTTCTTTAAGAGCAACATTTAAATCTTAACTGTAAGAACACAGATTCTTTATTGACATTCAGGGAAACCTTCTGCGTGCTTTATGGAAGGTCCTGTCATTTGGTCCTCCCTTGCAGCCCCTTGACACTTCTTTTTCATTTCCCAACTCCTCTAGTAAGGTTTCAGCATTGCAGAGCTCTTGTATTCTAAGAACTTTTATGTTCTGCCCGTTGCTATGGGAAGCAGTAAATCAAAGCATCACTTGGCATCTGAAATCCAGGGCTTTCTGGGTTTACTAAAAGTGTAGATCTATGGCTAGGTCCAGTGTGATGAAGATAAGGTGCTTCTGACTTTGCAGAAAGGATAAATATGAAATGCAGGAAGGATGTGCTACTACAAAGTCTGTGACAGGAAATTCATTTTCACTCTGTATCTTACTATGTATGATGGTATGGTTGCACAGGTATGCAAGTTCTGTGAAATCCTAGTTTCATACAGTTCATGAAATGTACATTCTCACACCTGGGATTTATATGTAAAACCAAATAGGAGCTGTTCCTTGTCACAGTATGTAGTTCATAGGCTGGTAAGTAAACCAATGATTCATTTACTTTTTGAAGCAATGTTTAAAATCATGTTACTCTCTCTGAAGTGATGCATGAAAAGAAACATTTGCTTGGGAAAATATCAGTAGTTTAAGGAAAAAGTAATTTTCACTGGAATTTTCTGGTGAAACTGGTGTGATGACCTAAACTTTTTTTTCCTTGAATATGTATTTCCATCAAGTTATAAAAATAACTAATTACTTGTGATACAGTCCCAATATGAGGAATCCTCCTGTCTTGGTTAAAACATGTTTCTGTCCCTGTGACATGTTTGTGGTGGCAGGAGCAGAAGGAGAATAAACAGCATCCAATGGAGTTTCATCTGGCCACTGCAGTCTGTAACAAAGTAAGTAAGTTGGTGGCTTAAACATTAGGTAAGGTCACCAACTGCCTCTATAAAACTGGGAAGAAAAATGCAAAGAGAATAAGAGGGATGAGTTATATTGACTGATTAAAAAGAAAAGTTTCTAAGCGACAACAGAAGAGACTGCAGTGACAGGAGAAGGTCAGGATTTCAATAGCAGAATAGAAAGTGCATCTAGTGCAGATGCTTCACTGACCCTCAATTTGAGGGGATCTATTTCTACTTGTGCTTTAAGTGCCACCAATGTTCAAAACAGGTTCTGCTGCAGGAAGAGGGGATAACTGACCAAGCTTCTACACAGTGCAGGGACAACAATCTGACAAGACAAAATCAACTGAAAAACATTCAGGCAAGTGCTTTGCTGCGCAAAGGCTGCTTAGTATGACGCTGGCTTGAGCTCTTCCAACAGAGTACCACTTGGTTGCATAATGCTCTGACAAGCTGTGTAACTCCATTGGAGGGTTTCACAGGACAGGAGAGAGAACACATTAACAGCAGAGTTATTAAATTCAGAAGCACATAAACAGACCCAGCAAACTGGATTAGATTTCTTATTAGCAGGGGTTTTTTTGTCAAGTGGGTGCTATAAAGCATACGGGGGAAGGTGGCAGCTCCTACTGCTCTTCAGAGCAGTTCTAAAACTGTTCCTAAGTGGGAAGGAAAAAGCTGCTCAAGTTGACATTAAAGACTCTCTAGTTAGACAGAAAAAGCAAGAAATCAGGTTTCACCCTGTGTTTTGCGAAACATCGTCGACATCACGCAATGTATTACATAGTGTTGGAATCTTAAATTCAGCATTTCCACAGCTTGACCATTACTAGCAATGCATCAGCGTTTTTAGGCTTGAATTTTCTGTAGCTTTTTAAAAACAAGACGCATGAAAAGCCTCATAATTATTATGGTGACAGCTTTATGCTCTATGCTCCTGTCCAAATAAATCCCCAACCAAAAACCCCTGAAACCTCAACTATGGGAGTGAATTTGTGGATTCTTGAAGCACGGAGAGTTTGCTATGATACGTTTTAGAATACTGCCATGTTTTGGTTTATGATTCCTTAATCTGAAAAGCTGAACCTCATGAGACAAAAGAGCAGGTGCTTCACTAGGTCGGGCGTGTAGAGCTGGTTTACTCTGTGTTAATTGCTTGAGAATCTTCCACTGGAAAGGGCTATACATTTGATTACAGCATAAATCATTTCCATCTGCAGTGAAATTCAATAGTGCAAGTATCCCTCTTTATTTCTTAGGAGACTCTGACCCCCACTCCTGTAGTGTTGTGCGTGAAAACTTTGGCTGTTATCTTAGTATGAAATTGTTCCTGCTGTCATGGCAGATTTTAGGTCAGCTGAAGGATGAAAACCAAACCCCCTGTTAACTTCAGCAGGGATTTCCATTTAATTCTCCAGTGACAGAATTTTGCTTTTCTTGATAAAACTACCTTCCATTAAAAAGAATTAGATCTCATTTGGCATACTTATTTTTGCCACAGAAGGCTTGAAATACAGCCCTCGTTGACAGCTGTGAACTACACAAATGAGTGGATCATTAAAGAAATCATGGAGATTGCCAAGTATTCCAAGTTCTCTCATTCTAATGACATAAGAATTGGAGAGAAAAACAGCCAGCTTTTGGTTAACTGTTTGCTTGAAATATAAAGTACATAAAGCCTTTATTAATGTATTAGAATCTACTATATAGAAGCTATAGGAAGGTGAAACAATAGAAATTTGGTTAGTAGAGAGTTCTGTCACCTGCTTACTGAGGTGATCCAGTAGCAGAGAGCTACTGGGCTATTACCAATTGTATGCTCACCATGTACGGATGGTAACTATTTCTTCCTCACTTCACAGTGGTAAATATGACAGGCTACAGGAAAGTCACGATACCAAACATGCAGCAGTTATTCTGAGAGGGAAATACACAGCGTCACAAAAATGCAACCAGATGCAACAGCTATCCTGAGAACAGGGATTTAAAGGTTCTTTGTGCAAGGTTTTTACATACTTGGAACTTGATTTTAGAAGCTATTCTAAGTTCAGGAACACTGCTGCTAGCGGAAGCTGTCTTCAGTTTCAACAAAGACGCAATCTGGCAGTTCATTCATTTGAAGGCAGTTATCAGAGTTTCTCAACCTGCTGTCCCCAGTGCATGCACTGCTTTCTTAACATCTGGAAATGAATAAGCAAATAATCTTCCCTGGTGTAATTTAATTGCCACAGTAACCAGGAGACTATTAAAATTTACAGACAAGGGAAAAAAATAGCCTTAGGAAAGTGGAATAGCAAGTAATCAACAAATGGACCCTTGGTGCCTTCTTATAGCTACCAACCCAAGTCATGCTTGGACCATTTCCAGATGTTAATTCTCCCTATCATCTTTCTGACTATCACTGAGATTTTCAAATGTAGCTTTGTATTAGCTTAAAAGAAAAAAATATTGATGAAATCTAGAGTTAAGCAAAGATGTTAAGACTTCACAGACAAGTGGTAAACTTACTCTCTTCTGCAAACTCCAGTGTAGGAATAGTAACATGTTAATTCCCAACATCTGTTAAGGGAATGCAGTTCAAAACCTAATTTTACATTAACCTAAAAGTCTTCATTAAGCCACAGGAGGTAGTGGTTTGATTTCTGAAATGCTGTGCTACTACTTACAATGCAATTATTGTTGATAATACTCCCCAGTTGGCAATCAGTGATTTTCCAAGCTTATGTTTGCTCTGTTATTTGTGGTTTATGCTGTGTAGTCATCCACAGAAGTTGTCAATTAGCTTGATTCCTCTTCCCTTGTTTCAGCTTAGCTTGTGTGATGCTTGAAATGTTGATGGGATGATTTGCATCAGAGTGAAAGAGGTTTTGCTCTTCCATTTAGAAGTATTTATACTAACAGTTGCATCATGTTCAACAGTTTGAACTCTTAGGAATTTCCTCATGCAAACTACAAAGATTTAAACCCAAAGCAAACACTTGTTGCCTCTACACCAACAGCTTTTAACTATCTTGACTACACAGCAATTAGATTGTGGCAACATACATATGGATACCAGAAGGTTTCAGTGTGTTTTAATACAGCATGATGCAGCACAACCACTGCTGCCCATAAAAGCAGGGTAGTACGTGCAGATTTTTGGTGCAGCCCGTTTAAAAACAGTTGTATTATAAAATAACACAATTAAAATAATTGTGTATATGAAGTTTCAGCTGGATGTGATGTCTAATTCTTTGCCTCCTAAAATGCTGTTGCTAATGAATATATGGAAGAACAAGTTAAATTCTTTCACTGCAATAACCTCCTGGCTCACCACAGGCATAAGGTCTTTCAAGCAAGAAAGGAAGAAGCCTCACATTCTTTTGGCAACTGCCATCACTACTTAAGATTGATATTTGAATGAAATCAAACTTACTTAAATAGAAAATAAGTATAAATTAAATAAAACCTCCATAAACCTATTGCTGTTACCTGGAAAAATATATGCAGAATTAAGCAATTTGGGGAATTTTAATATTTGAAAATTATTTCCCATGTAGAAATTGAAGATGTAACCTTCTACTGCCAGAAACAGGCATCTTAAATCAAAATGCAGAATTCCTTTACTCTGAAAGCTTCAGAAATACATGCTAATCTAGTGTCAAAAGCTTTGCACATCCTGTGAATAGCACAGCCGACACTTTTGTTCCATTGAGTATGTCCAATAATCTCTGTAAACCAGACTTCTCACTTTTGTCAGAGAACAGGTTAAATGATGGTTTGGTGGCTTTGACTGAAGTTCATGTCATGGGAAGCCCTGAAGTTACCAGTAACAAGTCAATGCTTTTCCAGAAGATAAGACAGGTCCCACAGGTTGTGAGGCTGCCCGAGAGTTGTTCTTCCACATGTAAGGTAATTTTTGATCAATAATTCGCTCTCTCTTTAGGGAGTAGAATCATGTTTTTCCAACTCTTTGCTATAAACCCATTCTACCTCCAGTCTGGAAACAGGCTGATACACGTTATGCTGAGTTGTAATGAGGTCCCTAGTCATATAGTCCATCTTGCACTGTGCAGTTTCTAGCTTGGCATCTGTCCTGGGTTTGGCATCTGTCCTGCTTTAAGTTTTTGTTTCATTTTTTGTCCTGATACAGGGGTGGTGGTGGTGTTAGAGGCTGTTACTTTAATAGCAGCAGTGTCAGCAGGATAAAAATTTCACTCTGAAAATGATGCCTTTTAGCCACAGAAGCTACAAATGCTTACCTTCAGAGTCCAGAAAAGGTATGTTCAAACAGCCACAGATCAGTGAATAAAAGACAATGGATTTCACCTGTGTATTTACTGCAGAAGCAGAAACTGCAACAATTTCAGGAGTTAAACTTAGAAATATAACTTGTAATGCTGTTTAAATTTAAAATCCAGGATGTGCAGGAAGAACCACTGATACAGTTTAAAATGATGCAACCCACAGGAAGCTTGTGAAACAAAATTGGTGACTATTTGGCTCAAATCCACCTCCTGAACCTCACTGCACTGGGAGGGCAGGAATCAAGGGACAACTTCTACTAGAGGAAGGGTAGTTTGATGGCCCTGTTCCGGCATCAAACATCTGCTCAACTGTTTCTAGCCCAGTAGTCAAAGCTTTCCTGGTGTCATCAAGGAAGCAGTGAGGATGAGATAAATCTCTTTTAGCCAGATCTAAAGTGCTTTAAAGGGAAGGTCTAGATTAGGGGTCTAACACTCAAGGGCTAGTAATTTTTAAAGGTAAATTCAGAAGTCCAGGTTGAGAAAGCGTTCTTGAACTCTTAAGTCAGTAATGCACATACTTTAGTGAAAATGGCAGAGAATGGCCTCAATACTATTTGTGCCTAGTGAGATACGCAGATGAAAAGCTACTCAAGGCATAAACTTTGTGAATGAATGACTGAATGGTAGAACTACACTGCTGGGGGGGTTGATGATCTCTATGGTCCCTTTCAGCCACAATCACTGTATGATTAGCACAACTTGGTGGTTTCTTTCCTTTCTTGTGGTGCGACTTGTTGTCTGAGCCATCTCAGGTGATAAAGAAGTTTATTTATGTCAGTTCGTACACAAGCTTCTCCAAGCCTGAGACATAAAAATCATTATGTGATTCTTCACCAGTAAGCACCAACAATCCTCCCTTTTCTCCCCCAGTTTAAGAAAGATGGGAAGGAGGCAAGTGTCAAGATGTGGGGAAGGAAGAATCAAGTCTTTACTGTTCAGAACTTAGGAAAATGTTGTAAACCCGAGTTTTAATTCATTGCAAGAAAGTCTTGGCTCATGTATAAAAAGCATATGTATGGATTTGAATTTAGCAATTGCTAAACAGAGCAGGTTATTGCAGAGTTGATAAAATGCACTGCCAGACAAATGGATGATACATTTTTCAATGTGTAATGTTAGATACTTAACCTATCTTGGCTGCATGAGTAAATAGTCTGACATCAGTTAGATTACTCAGAAGCAAGTTGATACCCAAGCAGACTATAAAAACTTCCCTTTAGAAGGGAGCTGAATAGCTACTTTTAGACTTTCCATATAATGCGTGTTTCAAATTCTCCCCCTCAGCTGTCTAATGAGCACATTTATATAAAACGAACAGCATATAAAGGTATTCTTAACAGGAAAAGAAAAACAACCTGACTGCAAAAGTAGTTACCCATTCTGTTGACCAGAAGCGTTTCCCCTGCAAACCGTTCCCAGTTTTGACATTAGAAAATGCTACATCTTAATGCCTCATTGCTAATTCAAAGGAGAAAGTAGCTTGATAAGAGTTAAAAATCATGTTTTAATTGAAATTTTAACATTCTAAATTGTTTTGCAATATCAATGTAAAATAGTGCATACAAAGTGCCAAAGAATGAATGTTTCATATTACAAAGTCACGCAAAACCCCCAACCTGAACATCTTTGAAGTGTTACAGTACACAATTTGAGGTAACTGCCCACCTGGTGTGTTGCAATGGTACACAGAATTGTACTCAGGTGATTTAAGTTATCTTGTTGTGATATTAGCACAACATGGTAGCAATACAGTTCATTGTTAACCACAGTAGCAAACAGCAATAAATGAAATTGGATTTTTACTAGGAGAGTCACTAGTTTTATAGCTCCTTTACAACAACTGAATGGAAAGTCAGACAGACTTGACAGACCAACTCAGTGCAAACAAAACAATGGAAAAGTACATCAATCCAAACTTTGGGAAAAGGAGCTAAATGACTTACCTTAAAATCTGCTGAAGAAAAAATAATGCCCATACTCTTAGTGTGTTCATTACAGAAGAATCCCTCCGTTAACAAGACACAGGCACTATTTTGTTTCGCAGGTTCACGGAGTAAGGATGTGTTTGCGCTGTACTTTTTAACACCAAATGCTATTTCCAGAGCCATACTGTTCCTATGAAGGGGCTTCATTAACAAATGAGGAAGTGGTATCTCCATTAGAAAGATGTGAGGAAAAACAGTGTTTGCCATATGGGGAAAAAGGAGAAAAATCAGTGAGGAAGTACATGCTTAAGCTTCCTGGATATCATAGCAAAAAAGGCAAAGCTTAAATTGGCTTTAAGTATATTATATTTATAATCCTAAACATATGTTCATACATCTCACAGGTATTCAACAATGACATTTTGAAGTTTTACTGTAATTGCAGAATTTCTCCTAGAAGCCAGAAAGGTGAATCATGTTAAAGTTTTTGGTGCAGTATGATGAGGTTAGTAAGTTTTGCTGATTCTTCACCAAATTACTGTAGCCTTTAGCAGTATGATATGCTTATAATTGCTGGATCATATCCTGAAGTTCATGGGAGCAGCAGCTTAAACAGATGGAATTGTGGAAGGCCTGTAGTGATTAAACAATGATTCAAGATTATTTCCTCATTTCTCTTTCTGGAACATTTACCTTCGTTGATGCCGCACTCAGTTCCAGGATTTAACAGTTATTACCAGAGAAGGTGGCTTTGATCCCTGGGTCAACTGTAAAGCTACACTGGAAAAATGCGTCTTTGCAATGTGCAAGGACAGCTAATACTGGCTATGGTATAAGCAGTCCCATCTCTAAGAGTCTCTCTTCTGACATTAACCCTTTTCTTTTCCTTTCCCCTTTCCAAATTGAGTTTTTTCTCATGTCTAACTGGGAACATGTCATAGCTTTAGTCTCTTTCATAAAATTGTATCTGTTTCTCCAACATCACCAAACATTGCAAGAAGTAAACTACACTGAATTACAACGGAAATAGTAACAGAAAAGGTGACTAGGTTAAGCACCCAGTAACTTCCTTGTGAGCTTCACAGTGCCTGACAAAAAAAGTAAACTCGATACTTGACTTTTTCCACAATGTCATTAACTGATTTAAAAATTCTAAAGACTGGAACTTGCCAAGTCATCTCAGTTTTGCTGGTACACACGATAGATAATGATACTGATAGCTGCCATTTAAGGCACAGTTTTGTTTCTGGGATGAAGATTTAACCATTCTTGACACTGAGCAGGCCTTACGTTCTCAGCTCTCTGAGCAGCCCTTTTGAATGTAATACTAAAACAGTACAGTCAACTGAGGGAAGACACAAGTGATAAACTTTAGATTTGAATTGAGGGAAGACACAAGTGACAAAGTGCAAGAGACTCAGCTAGGACATTTCAGCATGATAACTCCCTTCCAGTCTGAAGTTGTTCCTGAAGGCAGTATTAACCCAAGGCATTTTATGCTCAAACAGGTAAATAAATATATATGACTATTCTACCTCAGCAAAAGACAAGTTAGTCACTCTAATGTGATTCCCTGTGCTTTTCTACCTAACCATGCTTCACAACTACAAAAATGTTTTCTGTGAACTATGCATGATGCTTAAAACATGTTTTGAAAACTGAACTAATGTTTTAGTTAACTAAGTTTTCACGCTCTAGCTACTACTTAAAAGCCAAGATCAACAAATAATGATTCCTTCAACAAAAATGTAGGTATCTACTGCAGGCTTAATGCGGCATATTAGGAGCATGCCTGCAGCTGGAACTATTTCTTATTTATTCTAGATTACAATATTCCTAATGGATTTAAGAATGGATCTTCCACACACAGACAAATCCTATAAAAAAAACCTCATTTTCCAATTTAGTATAAAAATATAGCATGCATGCACACAAAACAAGAGCTCTCCAGGCAAACATGGCTGCCATAGGTAAAAATAAAAGATAATTAAAAAAAAAAATTGAAAAATCTTGTACAGGTTAAGAAAAAGATGCTATGCATGTACTTAAGTCAGCTGTATAACACACTGCCATTCCTTTTATGCTACTCTAACAGGTAGATCCAGAAAGTACATTTGCTTTTATCTTGATACTTTACGTGCTTCTTAAATAGCCACTCAACAGACCTGTTAATATAATCCAGAAATGTCTACTCAAATAAGATTCTTTTAAGTACAAAAGCAAATTATTACAGAATTATGTTTATGACTCAACAAATTGAACTTTCCAAAGACAACACATTTGTTTCCTGAGATGGCTAAAAGTCATGTTTCAACTTCATGTTACACTATAATTAACAAAAAATACTATGCAGCAAAACAGAGGTAAACTTCAGCATACAAGCACATTTACAGAAATCACCTAATTTCACTAGTACTATTTGTGTTCATGTGTACACCTTAACAAAAGTCCTAAAATAATCTTTATACATTACAAAACAAGGATTTACAAAATTTCCATTTTATTTCCAAGCTATTCATTCTAAAAATGTTGAAACATAAAAAAATACCATTTCCTAAAGGAGTTTACAATAAAAGGCTAACAATCTGGCATGGAAGAGAGGTAAATATATGGAAACCTGTTTTAACAGTCACAAATCAGTCGCTGGTGATTAAAGAACACTCTGTTCTTCAAAGATGGTAGGCACTTCCACATAACCAGAAATGTAAGTTTTCCTACCACTCCTTTTCCCTCCCATACATAAAAATATCCAATGCAATAAAAAACAAAAGTAGGATAAAAGGGCAGACGTGGGATCAAATAAAACCATTAAGGTCTTGATTATTGTTCATCTTGGGTAAGTGTAAAGATTATGTCCCAAAGTTTTCCTGACAAGATGGAGTTATTTGGCCTTTAAAAGTGTTAGCTGAAATACCTCCCTTTTTTACCAGTATATGTTGTTTGCTCACTGCTGTATTGTTGGTTTATGTCTTTAACAGAAACTGGCTCTAGGCCAGCCCATGGGTCCTCAAGCATTGAAGGTCTGTAATAGTTTTCCACATCATTAGACACTCTTTTCTCTCTGCCATGCGCTGTACCAAATGGAGTAGATGTCCTGGGTGATCCCTTTGGAAGAAAACCATCAGGTAAAGAAACATTTAATAGACTAATTCAAACTAAAAGAAAAGTTTCCTTCTAATGTAGCAGAGCTTTGAAGCTGATTATTAACGATAATTACTACTCTTCATTTGCATCTTCCTCAGACAATAATAACTTTATTATGCTTTTAATTGAGTGATGTTTTACCAGGATAAGAAAAAAAAACCCAAGTCTTTTCCAAAATACTTGTTTATGTCACTCTGGCACATAACTACATAGAAGCTCCTCATGCTATTTTTCAGAAGCTGCTTATGTCAATGATATAACTCAAAAGCTGAATAACAAAACAGGGAGCTAGAGGCTGAGGAAGAGTTGATAATATCTACAAGAGCAGAAGTCAGATATCAAGTACTTACAGATTTAACAAAGTACTGTATAATGCAAATAGCTACAAATGACCCAAAGAATGTACTGGGAAAACCACCCCGTTATAACCAAACTAGCGTCAGTTGGCTATCTGAGAACAGATGAGTTTATTTGATATACAATCTGGATGGTAATCAGTGACTAAACAGATGCTGCATTAAAGAAAAATGTTTTGCAGGGAGCTTCATCCATTGTTCTTTTCCACCTTCCTTTTTAGGGAAGATTCACCTCCTTGAAAAGTGAGGTTTTGTCTAAAGCTGTATTGGTTTAAGCTCATTTGTTTTAACCAATACTGAACAACACAGATACGCAACAGTCTTCAAACATGCCTGTTGAATTCTCTATGACTAGAGAACCCCTTGAGGCCGATTATCAGCCTTAGACTTTGTAAAGGAGGGTAAAAGCACTAATTAAGGGCCCTAAAGAATTCAAGTAAACAGCTCCTATGAAAGAATTTCTGGGCAAAACTGAGAAATGGTGCAATATATGAAGGCCCTATGCTTCCACAGATTCCACTGAAACTGTTTGAAGTGATTTCTAAAAGTGTGCTGTGACACGAGCCTGCTTTTGCGGGCCCAGGAAGTACTTCAACTCCTAAAGCTTGGCAATCATGGATACACACCAAATGCAGAATCAGTCATGTCTTATTTATGAGGCACTTGCTTCTAATGATTCATGGTAACAGAATTAGGTTATATAGCTCAGATGATGATCTCATAACAGGAAAATTACTAGAAGGTAGAGAATTATTTTACTGTATCAAAACCATGAGGGTCAGGTGACAGAATCATTGCAGAATACATCTAAAAACTTTTCTAATAAGGGACATGGAATTTCCTAAAGCAAATCAACATGCACTAGCATAAGTAACATTTATGTTAGGCATCCATAACTAATAGTATAGCAGTAGTACACAGTGCATTCTATCTTCAAAATAAAAAAAAACAAAACAACTCTAAATCACCATGTGTAATGACACCCTGTAACTCTGACACTGTTGAATAGTTTTAAGTGTGGAGTGTATTTAATGTTATGTCTAACCTGCAGAACTCAAAAGGAAGCTGAACTGACATAGTGATTTGCAGCATCCGGTGCCAGAACAAAATAATTCAATGGTAAGGCTCTTTTGGATGGATTTCTTTTATTGTAATAAATTTCACCATAATATAATGCAGGCCATCAGCAACACTGACATTTTAACATGGTTGAAATCTAGGAAATCTATTAGTATGTAATACAAGATTGATACAAGATTGACAGCCTTCAATGATTTAAACATGTTAAATCTAAGCCTTTAAAAAAAAAAAATTGGAAGACTAGTCATTACATGCTTTTTTAGAAAAAAAATCAAAATGTGATTATTCATTTTATAGGCCTGTGGAAAGAGGAAAATACCCCTTTCTGTGCAAGTGAAACCATTCATGTGCAAGAGAAAGTGTTTGGTTGCAAAGATAACCTCAAAAAACCTTTGTATTTTACTGGTGCCAACAGCTTTTTCTCACTGAACTTTCCTCAAAGAAACAGTAAATCTATTCTCAATACTTCTTGCTCAGATAACAGATCTCTCTCTACAGCAGAAAACCTCCCATCTTTCTGTGCTATTAACATGTTACTGAATGGGTTGAAAATGGGCATAGTCATCAGCTTTCTTCACCTGATGTAATTTTAGCTGCTAGCAGATGCACAGAAAAACAAAAAACACGACCGTACCATTTTAAAAAGATCTTTTATTTTACTTTCTGTTAAAGTTTTCAACCCATCACCACCACTTAGCCACTGCTACTAGCTAGTTCACTGTCTCCTGTTGGATGAAAAGAAACACTACTGACAAGTGAATTCTAAGAGGATATATGGAAGAAATACAAGAGACTTTCATCTCAAAGGTGGCAGAAGCATCATGAATATTGAAAGCACTGTAGTTCTCTTAACAGCATCTACAGAAGAGAGGGGAACTATCCACATACCTCAGAAGAAATATGATGCTTAGAAAATGGAGAAAATCCCTCTACCTGAACCTATTCATGGCCTCATGGACTGAGATCTTTAGCTGCCCACACTGAAGAAAATGAAGACCCACAGTTCATGAGACTTCCTCCCTCTCTGATTTCCTCTATTGCCCTCCCAGGCAAATCAAAGCATGTATATACACATAAAAGTACATACATACACATTACTTTAGTCCTAGGCAAAGTTATGTAGAGAAAGACATACAATGTCCTTCTAGGCTTTGAAAGCATCACCAGCAGGTCAACACTTCTGAACTACTCACAAGAAAAGGGAGAAATGAAAACATGACAATCCAAGACTGGATTCAAACTTGTACCTTCTTTATGACAGGTTTCTTACTTAACACCCAAACAGAACCTATGAGACAGTTCCTGCTCACTGGTTCTGACATGAAGCAGTCGTGAATAAAACCAGAGGTGTATTCTGCTCAGCTAATTTAAGACAGGCTTTGAAACGGAATAAGAACTACTTAATTGAATATCCAAAGAATTAGCTTCTGAAGGGAAAACAGACATTGGCGACATGCAGAAAACCTCACATCCTTTCCCTTTGAAACAGGTACAGAGGTATCCTGGGTACAGGAAGCCACCTGGGAGAGCTTTTGCTCTTCTGTTGAAGATGTATAAAGTTCATAATGATTCCTTCCCACCAACTATAAGATTCCTGTAAGACAGTCATCTGCATCATAAAAAAGTAACCAAGACTTTTCATTTTGATGAAAACGTGACTATGCAGTGCAGGCAAATTAAGATTTTACTAGTATCTATTAAAGATTTGACTTCATTATTACACTTTAATCTGTGTCAGTAAGAGCACCTAAAAATTTCATCATTGTACTGCATGTGTCTTTTGTTACACTTTTAAGACTTTTCAATATTGCATAAAGCCAGCTATGTGCATTAAGTTGGTATCATCTCAGGAACTGTCATCCCTATCTGCATTGCCAGTCCCATGCCCCAACTAAACCACCTGAAAGAAGCATAACTTGCAAAACCTGTTGTTGACAGCTCTCAGGAAAACTACTCCTTACAAATGGAAGCTTTCAGTGCAATGCAAAGACTTTAAAATGATACTGTTATCCAAACAGATGTTCTCAATTCTGCTTAAAGTAGCCTCAGCTCAATTCCCTTTAACAGAGCATTCTGTTCCTCTACTCATGTCTCAGAAAGCTGTGTGTGGACAGGGCAGTTTCCACGATGTAAGAAAAACAACATAAGCAAAGCAAGAGCACACAGCACTTCACCACTGTGTTAAACTGATCAAAGGGAGGTGCATACCAAGGGAAGGCATTGTTTGATGCAGTTTTGGGTGGTACTTCACTTCCTTTCTACCTTTACATCCAGCACATTAAAAAGAAGAAAGCTACACTCTTGAGTCCCTGTGTCTTCGTAACAGGCCTCAGCCAAATCTGGGGCCCTCTTCCCTCTCCTCATCACACAGCTGCCTGACCTGGGATCTCTCCATCCTCTCTAATGAAGACAGCCGTTCCCTTGTGCGGGGCAAGGCTCCCTCTCTTCTGAAAACCGTGGTGGAGGGGATGGCCACTGCGCGTCATCACAAGCCCTCGGCCTGCTCTCCCCTGCGGGCTGAGGGCCCGGCGCCTCACCAGCACCTCCCTCCCTCCCCGCCGCCCCGCGGTACAGAGGTGCAGGCCTGTATCCCGCTCCGCCCTGCCCCATACCTGGTAGGGCCGCTGGAAGCCCCCGGGCGAGCGCTTGTGCTGCTGCGGGTGCAGGGTAGTTCCAGCCGGGGATTTGCTGCCGTAGGGAGCCGGGTACCGGGGACTGATGCTGTGCGGCCGGCGCGGGGTATGCCCCCCGTGCGAGGGACTCCCGAACCGCCCGCCGCCAACGCCGCCATGGAAGCCGTGTCCTCGGGGCGAGTGGCCGCTGCCGTAAGGCCCACCAGGCCACGGCATGTAGGGCGGCGTGTGGTGTGGGCTCCCGTAGCCCCGCGGGGAGGGCGGCATAGGGCCTCCGCCGGACGGAGGGCTCCGGAAGCCGTGGCCCGCATACGGAGGCGTCGGGGGGCGGAAACTCTGCCTGTACATGACCCTGGCGGCGCGGCGATGGCGGAGTGGAATTAACCTGCGCGGCGGCGGAGCCTCAGCGGGGCGGTGTCGCTGCTCGTGGTTTTTCTCTTCCCCCCCTTTCCCCGCCAGGCGGCTGATAAGTTCCGACCTCGAAACGTTCCGGGCCGCGGAAGGCCAGGCCTGGGACACCCGGCTGGCAGGGCCCGGGATGGGAAAGGAGCGGAAGAAGGGGAAGGAGCCGGGGCCGGCTCTGTCCCTGCCGGGAACAGAATTGCAGCGGGCCTGCCCTGGGGCCGGCGCCAGCGTTCCCTCCCGGTGCCTGAGAGCAGGTCCCATGCGTCCTGCTTAGCCCCGGGAGGGTGGAAGGCCGGCTCAGCAGCGATTTGTAACGCATCTTCGAGCTGGAGAGGAATAACCTAAAGTAAAAAGATCCTTAGCAGAGATGCACAGCAGCTGTGCCTGTTAACTGACGTTGTAAAGCATAAGTGATAAACCACCGTATTTGTGAACGTGCATAGTTGTAAAGTGAACGCCTGCGGTACTACAGCTGGTAAAAATCAGCCCCAAATAAGCAAAGCATTTGCCTCCCGTTTCGTGGCACCTCAGATGTGCTTATCTGGACACCTTTCTTACGTAGTCTTTTAATAATGAGCCTCCAGATACTTAAATTATAACTGTCCCAATGGAAAATGTGTGCAATGAGGTATTTAGTACTTTATTAGAAAGTTTGCCCTTTTTAAACTCAGCTTGAATCACCAGCAATTTTTCAGACGAACTGGTAGCTGAGGCTGAGAGCTACACATACAACTTTGTATGAAAGTGCTCTCTCAGATGAGAAGCTCATATTTAACAACATAAGCTCAGTTTAATGATGTTCTTTATGAACATTTCTGCTCTGTTCTTAGCAATGTTAATGCAAATCCTCAACAGCTCGGTAAAAAAATAATGCATATTTTTCTTTTTAATTTCCATCAGTGCAACAAAGCTCCACTTGGTTTTAGGACATTGCAAGGCATGGAGATTAAAAAGGGCTTTCAGAAGAGCAACAAACAAAAGCTAGCCAATAAAATAAGCAGACTGTTTTTTTGTACAACAGTCTTGCTTTTCTTTGTCTTTAAACAGCTGTTGTTTGGGTGTTCGGAGTGTTTTGGTTGCTTGCTTTGGGTTTTTTCCCCCCAATGGCGATAACTACCTTGACATGCTCAGTGAACTCAGCTCCCCACCACATTTTCCAGTGTGCCTGTGAAAAATGGGGCTATAGCCTCACAATTCTAAAATGGAGATGTGGGTTAAGCCCAGCTGGTAACTCAGAACCACTCAGCTGCTTGCTCACTCCTCTGCTTCTTCCTCCCCCTGCTCCCGGAGGGATGGGGAGGAGAATCGAAAGAATGTAACTCCCACGGGTTGAGATCAGAACAGTCCAGTAACTAAGGTATAACACAAACCACTGCTGCTGCCACCAATAATAATAATGATAAGGGAAATAACAAGGGAAGAGAATACAATTGCTCACCATCTGCCGACCGATAGGCAGCCCGACGCGAGCAGCGATGTGGGCCTTCCGGGTAACTGCCCCCAGTTTATATAGTGGGCATGACGTGCTGTGGTATGGAATACCTCTTTGGTCAGTTTGGGTCAGGTGTCCTGTCTCTGCTTCCTCCTGTCTTCCCCTCCTCCCTGGCAGAGCTTGAGACTCACAAAGTCCTTGGTCAGAGTAAACATTACTGAGCAACAACTAAAAACATTGGTGTTATCATTGCTGTTCCCAGGCGAAAGTTGAAAACAGAGCACTGCACCAGCTACTAAGAAGGAGAAAAATGACTGCTACTGCTGAACCCAGGATAGGAGGCTAAAGTTCCTCACATTTTTTCTTTTGCTTATCCTTTACTGTGTTATCTTCTCTAGAAGACCAATTTTCTATCTACTGTTACTATGATGCACACAAGGAATGCCAAGCCTACACAGGACACTTAATCGATCTTATCAGCCTTGCTCCAGAGAAGAACAGGTTATTTTAGTTTAAAGCCTTTTCACACCAAGCAGATCAGAAATACATACTGTTACAGACACATTGAGTTATGCTGGAGTAAATTCACTGATGAATTTCTTCTTGTTGACAAACCCTAACTGCCTCTGGGGTTTCAAGCATTTGTGTTACACTTCTCATTGCACATCACTTCTCTGACTTAAACCATGACATC